ACTCCTCAGGGAGGACTTTCCCAGCCAAGCTATCCTCCTGATTTTCATCTGTCATATGTGGGTGTGGGACCAGCCCATTGGTGCCTCTGCCGCTCCCACCAGTCTCGATGTGGCTTCTTTAATTTCGTAGTTGTAGGACTTCCTACATATAGGAGTTGTAGGACTCCTCCAGTTGTAGGACTTCCTAATATATAAAGAATATATTATTTTCAGCTCAATGTGAGGTGGTTCTGAATGATGGTTATTTTGTAGTTTAGCTGTAATTTTGATTTGGTTGTGGGAGGAGGCGATACCGCGTTTACCTATGCTGCCATCCTGATCGGAAGTCTCAAGTGTATTTACAGGATCAGTTACATTGATATTCTCCTTCCTGAAAATGTTGTAAAATGTCCTTATGCTTAGTCAATTTCTTTTTTTATATTTGTTTTTTCCATTCCTATGTAACTCAGATTGCCAAAACATAAGTCCTTTTTTCATTGCTACTTATTAAAAAAATAATTATAAATGAGTTAAAAAGATAGTGGTGATAGTGAATATCTTTCTAGCACTTATGAGTAAAAAATATGCTTGTTTTGGGTTGAAGTACATTTTATCATATTAAAGTGTCCATTTGCGCCTTGGCCGGTTTGGCTCAGCGGTTAGAGCATCGGCCTGCGGTCCTGAGAGACCCGGGTTCGGTTCCCGCTAAGGGCACGTACCTCGGTTGCAGTTTGTCCCCGGCCCTGGTTGGTTGTGCGGGTGGCAGCCCCTCGATGTGTTCCTTTCACATCGATGTTTCTCTCTCTCTCTCTGTTCCTCTCTCTCCCTCCCACTCTACCTGAACAAAAAATGGAAAAATGTCCTCGGGTGAGGATAAAAAAAAAAAAGTGTCCATTTGCTCCTGTTACGTTATGTTTTTTAAAAATCAAGGATGGCCATGGCTGGTTTGCTAAGTGGTTAGAGTATCATCCCACAGACCAAAGAGTTATGGGTTAAATTTCGGTCAAGGGCACTCACCTTGGTTGCAGTTTAGTCCCTGGCCCTGGTCGGGGTTTTGCAGGAGGCGACCAGTCAGTGTGTCTCTTTCACATCAATGTTTCTCTCCCTCTCTCCCTCCCTCACTCCCACTCTACCTGAAGATAAATGGAAAAAAAATATCCTTGGGTGAGGATTTTAAAAAAAAATCAAGAATGGGTTAAATTCTGTTAAATTTGTTAAATCACATTTTGTTAAATGTGATTTCAGCATGTCATTTTCATGTGTATTAAAGAATATATTATTTTCTCCTCAGCTCTATTAATATAATTAATTACATATTTTTTTAAAATTTTTTTCTTTATTCATTTTTTAGAGACAGAGGAAGGGAGAGGGGGAGAGAGAGAAAAACATCGATGAGAGAGAACATCGATTGGCCTGCATGCCCCCCACTGGGGATTTAGCCCACAACATGGGCATGTGCCCCAACCAGGAATCAAACTGGCGACCTCTTGGTGCATGAGTTGATGCCCAACCACTGAGCCACACCAGCCCAGCTATAATTAATTATATTAAACTATCATTGCCTTCCTGGAATAAATCCTATTTGTCTTTGGTGTATCCTTCGTTGAATGTGTTATGAAATTTGCTTGCTAATATTTTATTTAGTTTTTTTGCATCGATATTAATTAGTAAGTTTGATTGGTGGTTTAATTCTTTTGGTGCTATTCTTGTCAGTTTCTTATATAATTTTAAGCTTCTATAATTAAAAAATATGAAAGCTTATCTTTTTCCATGCTTGGGAGTTTAATAGTAAAATCAGTTGTTCTTTAAAGGTTTGTCAGATTTCACCAATGATATTATATAGACTTAATACTTTTGAAGGAGAGTTCTTAAACAACTTTCTCAATTTTTTTTTTTTTTTTTTTTAATCCTCACCCGAGGACATTTTTCCATTTTTTGTACAGACAGAGTGGGAGGGAGAGAGAGGAAGAGAGAGAGAGGGAAACATCGATGTGAAAGGGACACATCGAGTGGCCGCCACCCGCACGACCAACCAGGGCCGGGGACAAACTGCAACCGAAGTACATGCCCTTAGCGGGAACCGAACCCGGGTCTCTCCAGACCGCAGGCGGACGCTCCAACCGCTGAGCCAAACTGGCCAGGGCTCAATTTTTATAAGGCAATTAGTTTGTTTAGATTTATTGGAGATTTTGAAGACCTAAGTAACATGATCTAACTTACTTCAGTAAAATCAATAAAAAGTTGAAATATAGCCCGGGCCGGTTTGGCTCAGCGGTTAGAGCTACTGCCTGTGTATTTTTGTTAATCCTCATCCAAGAATATTTTTCTATTGATTTTTTTTTTTTTGGTAGAGTGGAAGGGAGGGAGGGGGAGAGAGAGAGAGAGACAGAGAAACATCAATTGGCCACCTCCCCCCTGACCCCGACCAGGGCTGGGAATCAAACCTACAACTTAGATATGCGCCCTTGACCAGGAATTGATCCCACAACATTCTGGTCTGTGGGTTGAGCCAAATTGACCAGGGCATACAATTATAACTTTAATCATTAAAGATCAATTCTGGGGTTTTTTTGTTTTTGTTTTTCCAGAAAGCTCTTCTTTAATATTTAATGTTATAATAATCAAATCACCAATAGGTATAACAAAGAATAAAATAATGATAGATTAAAGATTTCATAACAAGGATAGCTAGGTCAAGAAGATTCTAACATTATATGGGAGAGAAAATATGAACTATAATAATATTAACTATTTTTGAAGAGTATAGAAGATGGTTATTAGAATACTACCCCCTTGCTTCATTTAGAACAGTGTTACTTTTGGGAATGGATATGATAGGCATTCTGTAATGCATGTGAAGAAGTTAAAAACATATGTAATAAGAGTGAAAAAAAATTGCCTACAGGATATGGAAAAAAAGGGCCAAGGCTATTGGAAAAATAATTTAATTAAAATATACTAAATCGCCCTGGCCAGTTTGGCTTAGCAGTTAGAGTGTTGGCCTGCAGTCCAGAGAGACCCAGGTTTGGTTCATGCTAAGGGCACGTGGCTCGGTTGCAGTTTGTCCCCGGCCCTGGCCCAACCAGGGCAGGAGGCAGCCACTTGATGTGTCTCTTTCACGTCAATGTTTCTCTCTCTCTCTCCCACTCTATCTGAACAAAAAATAGAAAAATGTCCTCGGGTGAGAATAAAAAATACACACACACACACAAAATTAACTAAGAAAGTTAATACATTTAAGTATTAAATGATCCATATATACAGTAGGTTCTAAGTTATTAATTATAACCCACAAAAGAGACGTGAGTTGTTTCCTCTCTCTCTCTGTGTATATACATGTATGTAAAATACATATGTTCAGAAAATATCTTTAATAGTTCCCTTTGCCAACCCCTGCCTCCCAAATCCAAACTCCTTAACATGTCTTTTAAGGCCTTTCATAATCCAGCCATTCCAGTCTCCTCTTCTACTCTATCTTTTCATATATCCATGGTCTAAAAGTCCCAGACTACTCACCCCTCCCAAAATATAACTTCCATTCTCTTGCATTCATGTATAGTACTCCATCAACCTGGAATTCCTCATCCCTTTCTTCTCAAACTTAAGATTTACCTGAGATTCTGTTTAAAATACAGATCCTGAAGCTTACCACTAAGATTTTGATTCAAATGGTCTGGGGAAGCACCTTGAAATCTGTATTTTCAATAAGCATTCCCTTCCTCCCCAACAAATGAGTCAATCCACACTTTGAGAAATATTGGTATTGTGAAAAGGGAGAAGATCTGGGTTTGCTTCCCAAATCTGCTATTTATTTATGAAGTGACTTTAGACAATCATTTAACTTTGCTCAGGTTCTTTTTCCTCTCCTGTAGTATGGGGATGGTGAAACACTATCTGTTTAAGAGACCCAAACTTGGTGGTATACATTATAGTAAAGAAAGAGAGAGTGCCCTGGCCAGTTTGGCTCAGCGGTTGGAGCATCGGCCTGGGGTACAGAGAGACCGGGGTTTGATTCCCGCTAAGGGCATATACCTCAGTTGCAGTTTGTCCCCAGCCCTGGTTGGTCGTGCGGGTGGCAGCCACTCGATGTGTCCCTTCACATCGATGTTTCTCTCTCTCTCTCTCTTCCTCTCTCTCCCTCCCGCTCTATCTGAACAAAAAATGGAAAAATGTCCTCAGGTGAGGATAAAAAACAAAACAAAACAAAACAAAACAAGAAAGAGAGAGTACATCTTTATGACTATTCCTCAAGATCCTATTCAACATCTTCCTATAAAGACATCTTTATTTCTCTTACTAGAATTATACATTCTTTTTTTTTTTTTGCTCAAACAGGATATTTACATTTCTATTTAGCATTTGTTTCATTTTGTCTTTGACATAGTTAATTTATTCATCTCCTATTCTGGCTTGTAAGTGCTTTGGAGCCAAGGAAGGACACTGTCTTTTTTTTTAATCCTCATCCGAGGACATTTTTCTATTTTTTGTTCAGATAAAGTGGGAAGGAGAGAGAGGAAGAGAAAGAGAGAGAAACATCGACGTGAGAGGGACACATTAAGTGGCTGCCACCCGCATGACCAACCAGGGCTGGAGAGAAACTGCGACCGAGGTAGGTGCCCTTAGCGGGAACCGAACCCCGGTCCCTCTGGACCGCAGGCCAACACTCTAACTGCTGAGCCAAACCGGCCAGGGCGGACACTGTCTTTTTTATAATTGTATTATGTGCCCTCTGCATGACTTGTACATATCAATATTAAAATTGTAATGTATTAAAATAATAACAAACCACACTATTATAACATTAAACTGTGAAGAGTTAATGAAAATTTGACAGTCATATAGATTTTTGAAAGTTTAGTCATATATGGAACTAGATTAAGGTCTCATTAAGCCAGCCTCCCACCCCTATTCCACCCTCTGTACTTACTATGGATGACAAGAAAATTGAAGTAACTGAGGCCAGGTTTGCTAAGTTAAGGTCAGTAATTATATCAATCTAATTCTTCTTAATTTTTTTCAAGAAACAACATAATCAAACAATTGCAAGCCATCCAAAACAGTGGGAAAGGTTACGAGATCCAGAATCTCTACATCATGTTGAGCAGAATTGATGACTACCAGAAAAAGGTGATGGGGGTCTGGACCGAGAAGCAGAAGTCTCTAGAGCAGAAACGGAATCAGTGCCTGAGGAAAATGATGTCCTTATTTAGCCGGGTAACCTGTTTTCTATTCCCTCTCTCCAGTATGTTTTAAGAAAAATGGAAGTGGTAAGTTTTGAAAATAACATTTATCTGAAGATATCACATATATTGGTTTCCCAGGGCTCCTGTAACAAACTCGATGGCTTAAAATAACAGAAATGTATTCTCTTACACTTCTGGAGGCCAGTTTGTGAAATCAAGACGGAGCTGGTTCCTTCTGGAGGCTCTGAGAGAAATTTGTTCCATGTTCTCTCCTAGATTCTGGTGGCTATAGACAATCCTTGGCATTCATTGGCTTGTAGCTGCATAACTCCAATCTCTGCATTCATCTTTCCTATGGCCTTTTCCTCAGATTGTCTGTGTCTTTATTTCTGAAGCTTAAAAAGTCACGTGTCATGAATTTATGACCTGCCTGGTTAATCCAGAATGATCTCATCTGAGATCCTTAACTTAATTACATCTGTAAAGACCCTTTTTCTGAGTAAGGTCACATTCATAGGTTCTGGGTGAACATACTTTCTGGGGGTTGTACCACTCACCCAGTTACACTGTGACTTCAGTGAAACTCCTAAACTGACAACAGGAATACTGGCTGGACTCTCTACATGAGAAAAAATTAGAATAGGAGAGACTTCTGGAAGTATTCAGCTCCTTCCTAGTCAACCTGTACCTACCAGCCTCTAAATATGAAACTTCCTGAAGTTACTACTCTCCAACTGATTCATGGTGATTACTTCTCTCCTCACAACTATTAGAAAGCAAGTTTTAATATGGTGAGTTTACAACGGGTATGGGAAACGACTGGCCAAGGCAACTCCAGGCGGGACTTGAAATTCAATAAATCTAGGAGCTTTTTTCATAGCAACATAAATTTACATTAAGTGAATCATAATAATAACATAAATTTTGAGGGACAAGCAAGGAACGTCCCTTAAGGGATAGACAGGACACATACAAGTACATGACGGGACAGATGCATATGCTTCTCCGAGGCCCATCTGACTGTATTGCGGTGACTCAGAGGACAGTCAGTGCCAGGCAGACTGGGAGTGTACTTGTTGCAAAAGAGTTAACACACAGTGGTGAATCTACAGCAGTCTGGTAATGATGAGTTGAGATGCGATGAGATGATTTCTTGAGACGTTGATGACCTTGCCTCCGATGATTGACGACAATGTTGTCTAATTCTTCGTTGACACAGGCAATAACTACAATCCAACCTTTATCCATATGTCCACCATCAACAAAAATTGAATCTCAGATGAAGATTAAGGAAATTACAGTACACAGAAAAGACCTAAAAAGTCGACGATACGAACATTGGATATGTTCCAAATCCAAGATGCAGGATTAGAACAGCGATCAAAGCAAAATAATTGCTTGGCTGGCACACACACACTGAATAATTATTAAAACTTAAGTGGTATGACATCCTACAAATAGCAACTACAAAGAAAAGAAAGCTACTTCTGGTCAAGATGGCAGCATAGGTAAATGCAGTATCGCAGCCTCCTTCCACAACCACATTAAAATTACAACTAAACTACAGAACAATCATCCTTCCTGCTTGAAATTGAGCTGAATGGAAGTCCTACAACCACAAAATTAAAGAAGAGGTCACATCAAAACTAGTAGGAGGGGCAGAGGCGCGGATGGGCTGTTCCCACACCCATGTGTGGCAGATACAAATCAGGAGGATACCTCAGCTGGGAAGGTCCTCCTTGAAAAGCAAGGGGTCCCTGTCCCACAGCAGGCCCCCAGCTCAGAGTTCCAGTGCCAGGAAGAGAAATCACAAATAACTTCTGGCTGTAAAACCAGCAGGAATTGAGGTGGAGAGTGGCTGAGGCTTCTGGAACCCCAGGCAGTTCCTCTTAAAGGGCCCTCACACAAACTTACTCAGATTCGCTCCCTCTGAGCTCCAGCATGGAGGGGAGGCAACTTGAAAGGCACCAGAAACATACGGGGAAGAACTGAGTTGTTTGGCATTGGGGGGAGGGCTGAAGAGGCAGCTTTCTCCTGGACAGATGACGTGCTGGTGGAAGCCGTTGTTCCTTTGGTGAGCACTTCCCACATAGGGCCAGCCGATGGGTGCCATACCTGGGACTCCAGCAACCTGGCTCACACAGTTTGCCCCACCCTGTGAATTCCCTGAGGCCCTGCCCCACCCCACTTTTGGGCCCACCGAAGCTGTTTCCAAAGGCTTTACCATAGGATTGGCTTGTCTTGGCTCCTGCTTCAGAGTTTCCTAAATTCTCTCAAAGAAGCAGCCTCTGGCCATAGCAAGCCCCATACCTCTCGCTAATTGGCTCCAGACCTACCACTAGAAGCAGCCAGCCTTGGTTCACAGCTGGGCTTTGCATTGGCATCTCCAAACCCAGCATAAGAAGCAGCCATTGGCAGATTGCTTTGTAGCTTATGCCTGATGTCCCCAGATAGAACACAGGCAGAGGCTGACCTTGCCCCACACTCAGTGGACAACTTCAGACCACAGCGAAGCACCTCTACAAGTGATATACTCAGGAGTGGACTCAATGGGTACCAGAGCCCTGATGAAGTAAGTCTTGCTCTGTGTGGTGACCCCTGCACAGCTGATCCTCCAAGGTAGTCAGAGGTCAGTGGTCAGTGGGCAAAGCCAGTTCTTGCAGCTGATCAGCCTGAGTAAATCCCTCCCATTGACATGCCAACAGCATTGAAGACTCAATTACAACAGAAAGGTATAAAGTCCACATGAAGGGTGCACCTCAAGGGCCCAGCTGGGGTAACCAGGAGGCTGTGCTACTGGATCCTACAGGACACCTACTACGATAGGCCACCCTGTGAAGCCAAGGAGACATTGCACTCTACCTAATACATAGAAACAAACATGGGGGCAGCCAAAATGAGGAGAGAAAGCAACATATCCCAAATGAAAGAACAGAACAAAACTCCAGGAAAAATATTAAACAAAAATGGAGATAAGAAATCTAACATGCAGAGTTCAAAACACTGGTTATAAGGTTGCTCAAGGAACTTAGTGAAAACTTCAAGGAACTTCATGAGGACCTCAAGAGCATAAAACAGGACCAGTCAGAAATGAAAGAGGCACTAACTGAAATAAAGAATAACTTACAGCCCTGGCCGGTGTAGCTCAGCAATTAGAGCATTGGCCCATGGATCAGAGAGTCCTAGGTTCGTTTCCCGCTAATGACATGTACCTCAGTTGCAGTTTGTCCCTGGCCCTGGTTGGGGTCGTGTGGGTGGCAACCACTCCATATGTCTCTTTCACATCGATATTTCTCTCTCTCTCTCTCTCTCTCTCTCTCTCTCTCTCTCTCTCTCTCTCTTCTTCCCTCTCTTCCTCCGGCTCTAACTAAAGATAAATGCAAAAAAAAAAAGTGTCCTCGGGTGAAGATAAAAAAAAATTTTTTTAAGTAATAATAATAATTTACAGGGAATCAATAATAGAGTAGGCGAAGCCAAGAAGCAAACCATCAATTTGGAATATAAGGAAGCAAAAAATATCCAATTAGAACAACAAAAAGAAAAAGGAATAAAAAAAAAATAATGAAGATAGTGTAAGGAGCCTCTGGGACAACTTCAAGCATACCAACATTTGCATCATGGGGGGGCCAGAAGGAGAATAGGGAGAGCAAGAAATTGAAAATCTATTTGAAAAGATAATGACAAAAAAAAAATTCCCTAACTTGGTGAAGGAAACACACATACAAATCCAAGAATCACAGAGAGTCCCAAAGAAGATGAACCCAAAGAGGTCCACACCAAGACACATCATCATTAAAATGCCAAAGGTTAAAGACTAAGAGAGAATCTTAAAAGCAGCAAGAGAAAAACAGTTTGTTACCTACAAAGGAGCTCCCCTAAGACTGTCAGCTGATTTCTCAAAAGAAACTTTGCAGGCCAGAAGGGAGTGGCAAAAAAATATTTAGAGAGATGAAAAGCAAGGACCTACAACCAAGATTACTCTATCCTGCAAAGCTATCATTTAGAATTGATGGCCATATAAAGAGTTTCCCAGACAAGAAATAGCTAAAGGAGTTCACCACCACCAAACCATTATTATATGAAATATTGAAGGGTCTTCTTGAAGAACAAAAATGTGAACAATAAAATGGCAATAAATACATATCTATCAATAATCGAATTTATAAACAAAATGAACAAGCAGAACAGAAACAGACTCATGGATACAGAGAACTTTTTGTTGGTTGCTAGATGGGAGGGGTTTGGGGAGATAGGCGAAAAAGGTGAAGGAATTAACATTGGTTGTTAGACTGATGAACCTTAAAGGGAAGCGGGGAGGTGGGGCAGGAAGACAGAAACCAAAGAACTTATATGCATATATGCATAACCAACGGAACAGACAATAGTGTGGGAAAGGCAAGAGGGGGGTGTGAGTGGGTGAGGGGGTTGGGGGGGAGGGACATCTATAATACATCCAACAATAAAGATAAGTTTAAAAAGAAAAAAGAAAAGTTGATGTAGAGTATCGATCTTTTCAAGAGAAATAGACAAATGATTATTTTTGTTGAAGTCAAAGGCAAACCTGTGTGCCTAGTTTGTTACGATGCATTAGCAGTAATGAAAAAAGCTAATCTGGAGCATCATTAAAACATGCTAAACTCAATGAATTGGGAGACCAAATGCATCTGGATAAAATCAGTGCTCTACAGTGGAGTTTAGAATCACTACAAGCTACTTACACTAGGCCTCTTTGTGACAGAGACAATGTTAGTCAGATGAGTTATGTAGTGAGCAGGCTAATCACAAAGAAGCTGAAGCCTCATGCAGAGGAGAGTTTGTTCATCACTGTGAAGTACGGTGGCTGAGTTGCAGGGATATGCTCATGAAGTTTTAGGAACTGCAGAATGAAGTCAAGCAGTTCATAGAGATGAAGGGAAATCCTGTCAGGGAACTCAATGATAGCAAGTTGCTGTGTGATTTAGCATTCACGGTGGGCATTACCAAGTACCTGTCAGAGCTGAATGTCAATCTGCAGGGCCCTAACCAGCTTCTCAGCTCCCTACTTTCAAATGTGAAATCATTTGAAACTACATTAAGGCAATAATGAATTTTCTACTTTGAGGAGACATGCTTTGAAATATGCATCTGTGTTCGAAACAACTTACTGCCACGAGCTGTCCTTCTCAAAACTTACCGTCGCAAAGAGTCAACAGGGCTCCAGACTGACCGATGCAAACTTGGAAAAGCAGTTTTGAGTGGCAACATCCTCAGTATCAGCTAACATCATATGCTTCGCCAAAGAGAAGCAGTTCCAGTCACTACATTAGGGTTGAGTTAATTAAATGTTTGGCCAAATATAGCAAGCTAATTTTTAAGTTGATAATTTTGTATGGGCCAAGAATGATGTTATAAATATCCAAATGGCCCTTGGGAGAAAAAGGATCCCCACCCCTGGTTTACAAGAGGGGCGATAAGGATTTATTTAACTTGCTTATGCAGCACCAGGCACAGAAGATCTTGTTAGACTCTAAAAATCTGCTCATTATGACCCAGAGCCTCCTCTAAGATGACCCTCCAAAAAGTTATAAAGGTGAGATTAGAATTCTTTGCTCTGGGATTATATGCTCCCATTACATATTCTAGCATGGAATTCTGGAACATTCTTGGAGTTTACTTGCTACTTTAGAAGGTACAAAGACTTCTTATCAAATCAGACATAGTCTGAATTTTCCAGAAGAGTTACATTTTAAATATTAGAGCTGTTTGACAAAAAAATGATATTTTTAACTGTTTTTGGTTTGAAAAATATGGCCAATGTAAATGTAAAGGAAGATGAGTTGGCAGCATCATGAACTGTCTAACAGGAATTATAATGTCTAGGGCATTTCAGAGGATGAATAAGGGTCTGGGGTCCAGGCAACCATAATCTAGATAATAAGGTGGGTATCAAGACATAAAGAAGGGAGAGGAAAAAGCAAAAAGGAGAAGAGGGTAGAAATGAGATAAATACCTTTCACTGAGTCAGGGTAGTGGTCAAGAGGTTGGTTCTGTTACCAGATTGTCTGGGTTCAAATCAGCTTCACTACACACTAAGAGACCTTGGTCAAGCTACTTAAATTTTCTGAGTTCAGATGCCCATATATAAGACTAAGATAATTATAGTACCTATTTCATATGGTTGTTGTAAATACCAATTGAATTATTATATAGAAAGCATCTGACATTCAGTAGGTATTCAATAAATGTTAGGTATCATTGCATTTGCACAATGCTTACAATTTATGAAGTACTTCCATATATATTATATAATTCTCACAACAACCCAGTGTTATTATCTTGGTCTTAGAAATGAGGAGAAAGAGGTGCAGATAAAATTAGCAACTAGCTCAAAGTCACACAGCTAGGAAATGGAAGTGCTCAGATCAGAGCTTAGGCAGGACCAATGTTTATATATATCATGATAGTTGCCACCTCTGAAATTCTGTTTTGGAGGTGGGGTGGAGGTTGAGGAGTGGTTGGAGAAGAGGAGAAAGAGATTACAGAAAGATTTGCAAATCTATGAAAAAGGGAAGAGTCATAGTTTAACTAGGGCCAGCTCAGAGACTATCCTAAAGACTCTGGCCTTTCTTTTCATTGTTTCCCTTTTGATTGATTTATTTTTAGCTCCAAGAGATGTATGAATTGAATCTTAGTCAACCTGTACCTTTGATCATCGACAAAAAGCAGAAACCTGCCCCTACCAAATTTGTTCAACAACCACTTCTAGAGCTACTAAAAAAAGAGGACAGAAAATCTGACAAGATTTTTAGGTATGTGGTAGAAAAGACATTAAACTTTCTTTGAATGATATGTGGGACCTAATACATTTTTTTTCTGCCCAAGATCTTCCCCACAATTATAATATAGTACAGTGGAGAGTGTAAGGATTACTGATTTTCTTAACTAATTTAGCAAGAGGCTTATTTACATATATTTCTACTTAAATATTTAACGTTTAATTTTGAGTTTCTTTAAAAAAAAAAGAAGCTGATTCTTCCTTACTAAGCAACAAATTAATACACAATAAAGAAATTTAAAAGTGTTACTAAAAAAATAAAATAAAAAGAGGTAGGAGCTTTGGGAAGGAGAGGAAAAAGATTGCTGCTGGGGAAAAAAAGTAGTCTGGATATGGTTCATATGCAGTACTCCAGGCAACTAAGAAGGGAGTTTTAAAACAGATTACTAGGTAAAGTCATGGAAATGCAGCTTGTGGGGTGGGGCAGGGTCGCTATTTCAGCAAATTCTGTTGTTTTAATCCATTTCTCAGTCAAAGTGGGCACTGCTAATGTTCTTCAGTGCAAGGGAGGGCAGAGTGGTGGTGGTGAAGGAAAGAGGGGAGAATAAGAATCATATTTTGATTGGCTGTGAAAGGCGGGAAAGTTTGGCGCTCTCAATTAGTGCTGTCTGACTCTCTAGACAAGAAGACCAGATGGAAGCCATATGGAATGCTGATCAGTCCACTTCAAGCTACCCAATAGCTGAGAAGACATCAATACATTCACTGTGGGCCCAGCTGGGTGGGTACCCACCTATTCCTATGCTGCTCCAGTTAGATGTTCAGTCTACCTTCAGAAAATCTCTTGCATCCATTCAATCACAGTAAGTTAAGGACTGGAGACACTTGATAATTGGGCCTTTGGTCATATACTTTTTCCCCCTTAACTTGACTGTCTCTTACAGCTCCAGGGAGTTACCAAAAGCATTAGTCATTTAGTGTTTCTTTCCAGAGGCCTGCAGATGTCACTCTGGAATAATATAAAATAAACAAAGAAACCAGTTATAATACCCCTATTCCACTTGTCCTGGCTTACTAGCCTATCTCAATACTACAAAACCTAATCTAACACTAGATAAGTCTACTTTGAATTCCATCCTTTATTATTGAAAGTACCAGAAAGACCACAGTAGAATGCTTTTGTCTATCTCATGGTTCAGTAACATACCTTCAAGTCAGTTGTCATATCTAGGCCCAATTTGAGGTAAATTAAGTGCTTATATCCCAGAATACACTGAAGAAGAGGGAAGGTGAGTGACATGGATCCACGTTTCCAAATTCTGTTAAACCAGATTCTCATTTAAACCATTGGAAATCATTCAAGTGGAAGTGAAGAGTTTTGGAGTCTGCATTACCTCTTCTAAGACAGAGAATTATTTAATGTTCTAGACTAAGAATTTAGAAAATTGAACTCTTGTAACCTGAAATAGTTTATAGGGGTAATCTGATTTATTCTGGTGAAATTCAAGTCCTGAGCTAAAAAGTAGTGTTAACTCACAAATGTGTTTAGGTGGCAGATACCATTAAATAAGACATTTAAAATTCTATAATATAGTAAAATAATAGCAAAAATATTACTATATAATGTATAAAATATAAACTCATATATCATGAGCACAAGCATTCATGAAAAAAGTTACCAAATCAAATATAACCATTCAGTTGAACAAGCATGACTCATAAATTATAGTTATAATTAGAAAGCAACTTTACTTTTGTCTCCCATTTTCCCTTACATATTTTGGAGTGATTAAATTATTAACTTAGGTTCTTCTGAAGGATGGCATTGCTAATTTAATAACTATAGCACTTGGGACATGATGTATATACATTTTTAAAAAAATTATGTCTCCCTTATCTCCATTTCATATCTAGCTTCAACTAACTAATTAATCACTTCTTACTCATGCTAAATCCTACAAATTTAGTTAGACCCTATTTTCAGTTTACTGTTTAGAAGGACTCAGAATCAAGGAGCTCTCAGAGATTTTTTATTTCATAGATTTTTTTTTTTTTTGTATAATGTATACACAGTAAAATTTATCCTCTTAAGACCCGCCCCCCCACCCCCACCCCCCGGTTTCTCTCCCCCTCTCCCTCCCGATGTGCAGCCCTGGACCAGGTACCACTACCCTCCAGGACCTGTCAGTAATAAATCTTGTTTTTCAAAGTTCAAAAAAATTTTTCATCCTTTTTTTTTTAATTGTGTAGGGCATATTTATTTAGGTATTCATAGTCCTGTGGTTTAATTTTAAAAATAATTGAGCCACTGTTTACCAAAGGAAAATAGTTTCGTAATGAGCAGTCCATCCCATTACAGTTTGTTTTTTAAAGTTTTTATTAAAAATGTCACTGAGACCCTGGCTGGTTTGTCTCAGCGTTTAGAGCATCAGCCCCTGGACCAATGAGTTGTGGGTTCAATTCCAGTCAAGGGCACGTACCTCGGTTGCAGTTCGTCCCCGGGCCTGGTCGGGGTCGTGTGGGAGGCAACTAGTTGATGTGTCTCTCTTACATCTATGTTTCTCTCTCTCTCAATCTCTCTCCCTCCCACTCTATCTGAAAATAAATAGAAAATTATCCTCGGGTGAGAATTTAAAAAGAAAACCTCACTCAGTACCAAAATAAATAAATAAAATTTAAAAATACATAAAAGAAATTAAAAATACACTTCAATTCACCCATGGATCTAAAATTCATTCTCTTTAGTGTATAGTTCTGAGTCTTGACAAGTGTGTAGTTATGGCAACCACTAAACTTGCTGTCCCTGTACTTTTACCTTTTCCAGAATGTCATATAAATCAAAGTACAATATGTAATCTTTGCATCTGGCTTTTTTCACTTACCATAATTCATGTGAGATTCATCCATGTTACTGCATCAGTAACTCATTCTTTTTTATTTACTGACTAGTATTATTCTACTGTATGGCTGTACCACATTTGTTTATCCATTTACCAGGTAAAGGACATTTAAGTTGTTTCCAGTTTGAGGCAATTAATGAATAAAACTACCTATAAAAATTCATATACAGATTTTGGGGTGAATGTAAGTTTTTATTTCTCTTGTATTAATATCTAGGACTGGGATTGCTGGGTTGTATGATAAATGTATGTTTAACTTTATAAGAAACTGCCAAGCTGTTTTCCAAAGTGACTGTACATCTCTTTACATTTATTCAGTGATGCTAGTTCTTACCCTGACTCTGGATAAAAACATAGGTGGTTTCATGACATTTCTGGTAGCTTTTTAGTAATATAAGTTTATCTGGTCAGTAATTAAAATGTCCAGAACCATGTATAATTAAAACCTTAATTTTGTTTTAAGGTTGAGGCTTCTCATCTCTTTCATCTTAGACTATTATAACTTACGGTTAGCGAAGGAGGACGTGAATAGCTTCTTTTCTCTTTTATGACCTAGGGCTTCTGTTCCTTCTTTTTCAGCTTGCTTCTATGGGACACCTTAGGGATTAGAGCTCTAGGAAGGGAGGAGAGAGGGGAACAGATGACTTCTTATGAACTATTACTGTTGCATTTCTAACATCATTGCTTCCTGGATGTGGCAGATTTTTTAAATAATTTTTCTTTTTTGATTTCAGAGAGAAAGGAAGAAAAAGGGAGAGAGATAGAGATATCGATGAGAGAGAACATTGATTACCTACCTCCGGCATGCCCCGCACTGGGGATCAGGCCCACAACCTGGGCATATGCCCTGACTGGGAATGGAACTGGCAACCTCTTGGTGCATGAATTGATGCTCAGCCACTGAGCCACACCAGCCAGGATGATGTGGCAGATTTTTAAAGCTGGTTGTTATATAGGGTACTTTAGGTGAAATTCTTGGAGATCTCTCATCTGCTGATTTTTTTTTTAATCTTCACCCGAGGACATGCTTATTGATTTTAGAGAAGGGGGGAGTGAGAGAGAGAGGCATTAATGTGAGAAACATCTGTTGGTTGCCTTCCTGTACATGCCCCGACCAGAGATTGAACCCACAACCTAGGTATGTACCCTGACGAGGAATCAAACCCACAACCTTTCTTTTCTTTTTTTTTAAACTCATCTTTACTGTTGAATGTATTACAGATGTCCCACGTTTTATTCCCCATTGACCTCCTCCTCCCAATCCTGCCCCACTCCTGCCTTCCCCACACTATTGTCAGTGTCCATTGGTTATGCATATATGCATATAAGTTCTTTGGTTTATCTCATCCAACCATCCCTTCTCCCTTCCTTTTGAGGTTCATCAGTCTAAAAACCAATTTGTACTTCTTCATCCCTTCATCTTTTTTCACCCTTCCCTCCAGCCCCGCCCAACTGGCAAGCAACAAAAAGTTCTCTGTATCTATGAGTCTGTTTCTGTTCTGCTTGCTCATTTTGTTTGTAGATTCAATTGTTGGTAGATATGTATCAATTGCCATTTTATTGTTCATATTTTTATTCTTCTTCTCCTTCAAGAAGACCCTTCAACATTTCATATAATACTGGTTTGGTGGTGATGAACACCTTTAGCTTTTTCTTGTCTGGGAAACTCTTGTTATGTCCATTGATTCTAAATGATAGCTTTGCAGGATAGAGTAATCTTGGTTGTATGTCCTTGCTTTTCATCACCTTGAATATCTCTTGCCACCTTGAATATCTCCTTTCTGGCCTGCAAAGTTTCTTTTGAGAAATCAGCTGACAGTCTTGGGGGGGGCTCCTTTGTAGGTAACAAACTGCTTTTCTCTTGCTGCTTTTAAGATTGTCTCTTTGTCTTTAACCTTTGGCATTTTGATAATGATGTGTCTTGGTGTGGACCTCTTTGGGTTCATCTTGTTTGGGATTCCCTGTGCTTCCTGGACTTGTGTGTCTGTTTCCTTCATCAAGTTAGGGAAGTTTTCTGTCATTCTTTTTTTCAAATAGGTTTTCATTTTCTTGCTCTCTCTCTTCTCCTTCTGGCACCCCCATGGTGCAAATGTTGGTACACTTGAAGTTGTCCCAGAGGCTCCGTACACTATCCTCATGTTTTTGGATTCTTTATACTTTTTGCTGCTCTGATCGGGTGTTTTTTGCTTTTTTATATTCCAAGTCGATGGATTGCTTCTTGGCTTTACCTGCTCTACTATTGATTCTTTTAAATTCTTCTTTTTTTTTTTTTTTTATCCTCACCCGAGGATATTTTTCCACTTTTTGTACAGATAGAATGGGAGGGAGAGAGAGGAAGGGAGAGAGAGAGAGAAACATCGACGTGAAGGGACACATCGAGTGGCTGCCACCCGCACGACCAACCAGGGCCGGGGACAAACTGCAACCGAAGTACGTGCCCTTAGCAGGAACCGAACCCGGGTCTCTCCGGACCGCAGGCCGACGCTCTAACTGCTGAGCCAAACTGGCCAGGGCTAAATTATTCTTTATTTCATTAGTGCATCCTTCATTTCTGACTGGTCCTTTTTTATGTGGTTGATGTTCTCACTAAGTTCCTTGGAGGTCTCCTTAAGTTCGTTGAAGGTCTCACTAAGTTCCTTGAATGTCTCAATAAGTTCCTTGAGCAACCTTATTACCAGTGTTTTGAACTCTGCATCTGATTGATTGCTTATTTCCATTTTGTTTAGTTCTTTTCCGGAAGTTTTGTTATTTTCTTTCATTTGGGACATGTTTCTTTGTCTCCTCATTTTTGTGGCTTCCCTGTGATTGTTTCTACATATTAGGTAGAGTGCTATGTCTCCTAGGCTTCATAGAGTGGCCTATTGTTGTAGGTGTCCTGTAGGATCCAGAGGCACAGCCTCCCTGATCAGCCCAGCTGGGCCGTCAAGGTGCACTCATAGTGTGGACTGTATACCCCTCTGATGTAATTGAGTCTTGACTGCTGTTGGCAAGTCAATGGGAGGGATTCACTCAGGCTGATCAGTTGCAAGGACTGGCTGTGCCCACTGACCACTGGCCTCTGACTTCCTTGAAGAATCA